ATTGTACAGTGGCATTAAGTGCCATAATGTGCACCTCTGCCTACCCCTTCGGGGATAAAAGGCGTCATGTTATGTATGTATGTATGTTTAATTCCAAACCTAACGCCCAAATTTTAACTTGTACTTAAATATCGTGCTGTCTCTGTCATATTACAAATACTTAATAATTTGAAGTAGGTAACAGAATTATTCTTGAAAGCGTTTGAGTATTTCACCATAAAAGTAAGAACTTTTAGAAGTTTAAAAACAGTAGTGAACCTATCGTCGTATTGAGATTTTTTTAAAAACCAAAGAAAAACTCTAACTACTCGAGCAGCGACGCAACTTTCTAATATTCTTATTATTTTCTTTCAACCCTTGCTCTATGGTAAAAAACTCCAAAGCATTTATTTCAATTAAAAGATAATTTGGTCAACAAATCTATATAAATAAAAATGAATTGTTGTTCGTTAGTCTCGCTAAAACCCGAGAACGGTTGGACCGATTTGGCTAATTTTGGTCTTGATATGTTCGGGGAAGTCCAGGGAAGGTTTAAAAAGTGAGAATAAACATTTTGAGGCGGTACGAAGTTTGCCGGGTCAGCTAGTATAAAATAAATAATAGTCTATCATGTCAATGTCTGAAGCTAGGTAAGACAAACTTACACTCAAGATTGATTTATCGGATGATGTGTGCTTGACAACTGGTACAGGGGTAGGTAGGTATATGTCGCCCGGCATCAGATCGAAGTACCGAACCCGCTTCCGATACTTTTCGCCCTTTCTTCGCCTCCTACGTAAAATTCCATTACCTTCTTCTTCTTCATCATCTTCCGACGTTGATTCGAAGTCGTATCTTGAATAGATTCGCCTGTTAAAAGTAAAGAGTTAAGTAATTGAAGAAATAAATAACCTGAAGCTGTAAACATGGTCTACTTTACTACGACGCATTTAAAAGATGTAGGTCCTTCTTTGCCTCGTTGAACTTGTACCTATTTTATTTGATAGCTGTTCTTTCAGATTTTGGTACTATTTTAAAAGATAGTACTTACTGATTGATCTATAACTAGTTACGTACAAACTTACCGGCCCTTATCATCGGTGCGAGGTGGTTCCAGAGCACAATGACCGATATATCTAAGCCTGAAACATCAATTATATTAATCAGTTTATTTATTGCGCGTCATTTTCCATATTATGATAATTTTATGTCAATACATCCATAATAATCCACATCCTACTTGTGTCAGTGGTAGGTTAAGCATGCGCGATGCTCGCAGCAAATTGTCATAAGTGATCTACTACCTGCTTAGATATTATTACATATATTAGGTACGTATATGTAGACTCTAAGGCAGTGGTACCTCTACCTACCTATATAGGTTTGTTTGGTCAAATCTTAAACGTAAACATAAGCTATCAATTGTTAATAGTACCGATATCAATCAAGATGCAAATCACAGTGAAATATTATAAATGATGTTGCGAAGGAATATGAACCTTGTGTGCATAGAAGGCTTCATCGGCACGCAAGTGTCTCTAAAATGCGGCGGCTTAAACTGCTTAGTTTTAAATTTCGGTGGCTTTGATACTTTCCGATTCTTAGCATCTGTAAAAGATTATTATATTTTTAGATATTTAACAATAAGTATAACTTGAAAGTACCCTTAACCGACGAGCATGCGTGAAAAGATTGATAACTGTTGATGAAGCGAAAGAGGTATGTAGGAATCGTAGTAATTGGCGTTCCCTAGTCTCTGCCTACCCCCATGGGAGACAGGCGTGAAGTTATGTATTTAAGTTATCTCATTTTATTTGAAGATGTGATACAACATATTTTATGTTAACTAGAAAATTCGATATATAGGTCAAGTCCGGAATTGTATATAGGAATATAAGTACTATTATAGGATTGCTTATACTTCAGTAGTATAAGTAAGTTAATGGTGTTGCAGATGTTCATGGGTGGCGCTGATCGCTTATCATCAGGTAGCAAGTCTACTCGTTTGCACTCTATTCAAAAAAGGGAGGCTTCTATAAGTGCCTACAAGGTTAAAGCGTAAGCTTATTTATATGTATATGTATATGTGTGTAAATAGTTCGTAACTTACGCTCAACGAAGTCTTGATAATTGAGTGCCTGAATAATATCAACGACATCTTGTGGGTCTGATGTCGCTTTTGAATATTTACAACACTTTTGAACTTTTGCAGGACATTTGCATATCCTGCAAGTAAAAAAACATATTTGTTAAATACATTGGAATTTACAACCACGCTTAGAACTTAATAATTCATATATAACCTTTTAGGTTTACTCATTTCTGGAATTTTAGGTATTGTTGTCTTTTTTTGGGAAATTTAACTTATTTGTTAGGTACAGATCCAAATAATTAATTTTGACATGTCTAAAATGACAACACAGATATTTCATTATTTTTAGAAAAATAAATCAAGTAGGTTTGGAGTGAAGGTTTGTTGAATGCAAGAAGGAATACAAATATTTACGTGAGCAGAAACTTTGTAATAGCTCATTAGTAGTTAATTAGTACCTAGTTAGTTCTGTATTAGAAGTATGAACATACTATTATTTACTTATTCAACTTGCGGTCGAAATTAATAACCGATTTGAATCCAAAATCTGTGGATTAAGATCGATTTTTGTTTGATTTTTGACATTGCTTACATGGAGGTGCTACCAAAACAGAATTCGATCCAGAGATTATGTAATAAGGTCGGCAATTCATTTCGGCCGTTAGACAATAATTTAAAAAATTAGAATTAGCTTTAAGGTAGCATGAAGTTCATGAGTTCAAGAAAATTCTTCCAAAGTAATTATTTTTTATTGATTTATTATTTCGTTTTGAAATTATTTGTGAAGCTTAACCCACATAATTATGCATTTGTGCTGAATAAAAGGAAACATCTATAGCATTGATTTTAAGTCATTAAAAAATATTAACTAAATACAATTTTTAGTTAGGTACTATATTTTAATTTGGAAAATAAAATAAACAGTTGTTACATATACAATTCATAATCCAAATACCAAACTTATGTTAGTAAGATAATATAATATAATAATATCAGCTAAAATCATTTTTGAACTTCTGTCTTTTTTATATAACCAATAAGACTGATTTTTCAATATGGCCCAGTAAAGAAATACAATTCAGTTTTGATTGCTCTGAAATGTTCATTAATATATATTTATATATGAACATTACATAGTATTTATATACATAACATAGTATTTATATTGAGTTTATTTAATAAATTAAAGTTACTGATTAACATATTTGTGACACCACCTATTATCTAAAAATAAAACTAAATAACTTTAATAGAATAATTAATTATTGAAAAATAAAATTAGCTAAACATTGAATTATGGAGTGTTTCTATGTCTTCCTTTCTCTGTTCTTTTCTTTTCTTCTCTTTCTTGTATGCTTCGTATGCCTCATCATCAGTTGGTAACTCATGTCTGCAGAATGGACATGAGTTGGTCTGTAATTAATAAACGATAAAATTAAAAACCATTCTTTGAAACATCAGTTTAAGTCTATTATGATACCCAGAAACAATTTTATTGTGACAATATTTTTACATTGCATATTTACATTCATAGAACATCAAGAAAAAAAAAAGAATTTAGAGAATATGTCACCAAGAAGGTGATAAATAGGTCCAATTTTTTTTTATTGCACAAAGGAATGAATATATTTAAACGCTACATCACTACAGGTTATTTATTTTCAGCTAGTCAAAAAGCATAGTATTACCCTCTCAAGCCATGTGAGAATGCATTTAGCATGGAATTGGTGGTGGCAAGGCATCTCCTTTGCCTTCTCTCCAACATTGAAGGTTTTCAAACAAATGGGACAGTTCTTATCGCTACTCTCTATTGTAATCTCTGGTATATTTGACACAGCTTCTTTTGAAGCAGGTGGAGGAAGCCTAGAAAAAAATTAAAAATTGTCATTAGTTTTAGTTACAAACATATATACGAAATATTAATTTTAAATTTTGAATATGGTCTGAATATTGCTGTAAGATGTTGTTTTAAAGATACTACCTACTCTTGTGCAGTTTCACCCACTCTGCTTGGCTCCTATTGGTCATAACATGATGTTTTATAGTTTTCTTCAATAAATGGACTATCCAACACAAAAATTATTTATCTAATCAATCCAGTACACACTACAAGCTTTTCAGCTTTATATAATGACATAATAGGATTTCTTATAAGGGGACAAAATCATTGAATGACTTCTCCCACCTGAGTGAGGCAGGAGGGAGTGTCAGACACTTACTGACAAAAAACCACCCCGTTCCTACATCTGCACATCGAGCCAAAGCCCGTTAAATCCTCTGTGGAGAATTAATTATTATGAAAAAGAAATTTATAAGTAATCTAGTATTGATTGAATTAGAACTGGTGTCTGGGAAACATCTCATCTCTCTATGATTATTCTTTTTGCCTCTCTGATTAATTATTTTATATTTTTACCTTGGCCACTCTCCAATAATATCTTCATCATAAAATCCAAAATCTATGAGGAATCTTGCCATGTCTAATAAATGGTTTGGCTGTTGTCCTTCCTGCAGCTCTGCCCAACCCATTTCTTCAAAATATCCAGCCATATTCGAATCCCTAAAAATAAAATCAACAACAAACGACTTGACTTAACTTATTATTGATCATAAAAGGTAAAAATCAAAAGTTTAATAGACATTACTAAACCATAATAAGAAATACTATACTAAACTACTACTATACTACTGTGTCTCAGTAAAATTGATCATTACTATCTATTTTTTTTTGAAGAAGAATTTGCTTAATAAATCATCACTAAAATGAGGTCTCATGCAGAAAGTGATCAGTTTTTAATTTTCAGTTAATAAGTATCAGTCAAAGGTTACGATGTTTATGTTATATTAAGCATTGTATAATTATTATTCAGTAATAAATGAGTAACAAAATGATGATGATGCAAAACCTAGAGTAATTAGCCAACTCATAATTTTATTCAAATCAATAACATTCATCATTCTAATAAAACAATTTGAAGAATCTTACCTTAGTTGATGTTTAATCCCTGATGAATGACGTATACAATCAAATTGAATTATTGATGGTTCCAAACTATGTGAAAATTCTTAAATTAATAAAACTGTGAAGTATGCAGTTCAATGAATTTTGTAAATAAAACAAATTAGACAAATCATGAAATGAAATGACTTGACAATTGACAATGCTCATTTGACAAAAACTTTGTCAGTGACAGCTGATAACGCACCTAATACAAAGTCTTTTAGCACAACTGTTGAATGCCTCTGAAAATTCTTATAAGACACTAAATATAGGTTGCACTTTACTATATTTTTAATGTGACCTTTAGTTTTTTATAGCACTTTTACAGCATTCAACCATAATCAAAATTCATCTCATGTTTACATATTCGCCTACACTTACCTACCTTCCTATTATCAGAATGTGTTTGAATATGTAACTTTATTTCTTGAATGTCTTTACTATTCATGGTCATTTGGGAGGCGTACGAGGGGCCGAAGCCAACTTATTATAATTTGAATAGAAGTAGGTACGTACATCAGTTAATAGCTGTCTGTCTTAATTTATTTTATTATTTTACGAGGAACTTGACTAGTTTCAAACCATGTTAGAGGCTCCTGGCTCATATTCAAAAGCAGCATTCCGCGACCCGCGACGCGGTCTTTCTATCTGCCATAGTTTACCTAGTTTTGGTTTTGTAGAAAAGTAGAAACAATTTTTCTACGATTAGGTACAGCACGTTTGCCTCACCAACCCTTCGTCAGTAGAAGTCGTCCTTTTCTCCCAAAACGTACCTACTGTAAAAATCTAACTAAAATAACCATAAGAAACCTGAAATAGATTTCAGCGTTGTTGATCAGTCATATGAACGCATGTGTGCCATGCCATCATGCGAATCGTTACGCTTTTCAGAAACGCAGTCAATATGATCAAGATTTAAGTAGGTAGGCAAGTAGATAAGAAAATCTTTACAATTTACAGCTACTATTATCTGATTACAAATAAAAGGAAAATTCATAAGAAAATATGAAACATTATTTTTCTTAGGATTGATAAATAAATTAATTAACTAGCTATCAGATAGATAGTGTTTTATCTGAGTTCTGAAACTTTGAGTTCATTATCTTAGCTTCTACGATAAATGATTGAAATATTTATCTAGCTAGTACCTGAGTAATTTGCAAGAGGTGCTTAGAAGAAGTCATGTTGTGAATACCTACTGTTGGTTAAATACTTAGATAAATTAAATTCATCTAAGGTTAATATTATTTCAGTCCTACCATACCATACCTGAAGTCAAAATTTCATCATCATCAACAGCCTATAAATGCCCACTGCTGAGCAAAGCCTCTTCTCACACGGACAAGGTTAGAGCGTTAATCACCACGCTTGCTCAATGCGGGTTGGCGATTTCAAACTTATAATTAGAAATTATAAGTCCAGGTTTCCTCACGATGTTTTTCCTTCACCGTTTGTCAGTGGTGTCTAAATAATCTTAGAAAGTACATATAACTCGGAAAAAGTCACATTGGTACTTGCCGTTGGTAGGTTTCGAACCCGCACCCTCATGCATGAGAAGTGGGCGTCTTAAACCTCCGGGCCACCACGACATTT